TTATTAAAGTATAAAAGGGATAGAGAAAGCTTCTGACATAGACATCGGAAGGGGGCAGAAAGAGTACCTGCCTGCTAGTCTTAAGCTGGATGTTATATAGCTACTAGCAGTCTGTTAATGAAAGAAAGGAATGTCTCAAAACTCAGAGAATGGCACCAGGCCACTCACCCACAAGATGCATTTTGAGATAATCTTGGCACCAAGCGAGTCATCTCGGGCCATAAAACGATTGACTTCAATCTTGAAGAAAGGCAGATTACTATAGAAATAGTTTTGTTTACATAGATTAGGAGAACAATGTAAGAGTATAACATACTGGTTTGTCAAGTCAGTTCTGAGCCTAAATCTGAGCTCTCAGGGGGAACCGACTTGAAGATAGAGTCTAGTGTAAATGTATAGTACATTACCAAGGCTTAAGACAAACATTTCCATAAGAAAAATGTGTTGGTTAGCTCAAGATTTGAAAAAAGTCAAGTTCGGGTAGAACCAGGTATCATTATGGCAACACAGTGTTTTAAGAGATACCTCTTTTTAAATTTGTATGGAGAACGGGAAAAACTATAACACTAGTTGTTTCCGAATGCCGCTTAAGAGAGGAGAAAAAAGTGTCTGACACTTGTAGCCTATTTCCTCCATTTGGGGACCTCTGGCCTTCTTGCCTGTTACTCTCTCAGGAATAAGTGGGGAGTGGGAAACAGGGAATATGGGGAAAACCTCTAGGCCAGCCAGCTATGACTAAATCAAACTCCCTATGAATATGTAGTGGAGGTGACAAATAGATTTGAGGGATTAGATCTAGTAAAGATTGTGACTGAAGAACTATGTACAGAGGTCCATAATATTGCACAGGAGGAAGCGAACAAAACCCTCCCAGAGAAAAAGAAATGCATTAGGTAGTTTGAATAGGAAACAGGAGTCCAGAATGGCGGTGGCGAAAAGACAAGGAAGGGAAAACCCTGCGAAAATAGAACAAAGGAAAGTCCAAGGACCGGAGTGAGGACCTCAGGTAGAACAAACAGCACTCCTGGCTACCCAGTTTACATAGGGCATGCCTGAGGTTGGCAGGGGTTGGGGAGGGGGGAGGAAAAAACATATAAAGAGAGAGCCAAAGGGCCAGGTCTCTCTCTTTTTCCCGCGTGCACACTCTCTGTCTCTCTCTCTATCTCTCTCCCTTCTCTTTGCGTCTTTGGGTCGGCATGCCCTCATGCCTTGAGGATGTATTTTCCTGCTATTTTCTAAATAAAACTGAGCTGTAACACATAGCTGTAACACTCATCTGTTTAAATGCTATAACACGGTCTGAGACCCGAGAGCTATAACATGGTCTGTCTAAGAGCTGTGACGCGCCGAGGGCTTTAATGTCCAACGCTTCAAATTTTTGTTGAGACAAGACAGAACCAAGGAGACTACACTCGCCTGACAAAATGCAAGAAGGCAAAGTGGTGATCTGAAGAGGCTTTCTAAATAGCTGAAGAAAGAAGAGAAGCAGAAATCAAGGGAGAAATGCAGAACTCGAAAGAATAACAGGGAGAAACAAGAAGGTTTTTCCAATGAACAGTGCATGTAAATAGAGCAAAACAACAGGAGGGGAAAGACTAGAAATCTCGTCAGGAAGACTGGAAATATCAAGGGAATATTTTGCCCAAAGATGGACATTATAAAGGACAGAAACAGTAGAGACTTAGACACTGAAGAGATCAAGAAGAGATGGAGCCCATATGAGAAATGTTGAGCTGGATGAGTTACAGCTAAATCAAGATGGGCGGGAGAAACAGCAACAACCTCAGAAATGGGGATGATACCACTCTAATGGCAGAGAGCAAAGAGGAACTAAAGAATGTCTTGATGAGGGTTAAGGAGGAGAGTGAAAGAGCCAGCTTCAAACAAAATATTAAGAAAACTAAGATCATGGCATCTGGCCCCATCACTTCATAGCAAATAAGAGGGTCAAAAGGTGGAAGTAGTGACAGATGTCCTCTTCGTGGGCTCCAAAATGTGGACAGGGATGGCAGCCATGAAATCAGAAGATGATTGTTTCCTGGCAGGAAAGCTATGACAAAACTAGACAGTGTGTTGAAAAGCAGAGACATTACTTTGCCAACAATGGTCCATATAGTCCAAGGTTATGGCCTTTCCAGTGATCACACAAGGTTTTGAGAACTGGACCATAAAGAAGGCAGAGAGCCATAGAATTGATCCTTCAAACTGTGGTGCTGTAGAAGACTTCCTTGGACAGTGAAGAGATCAAAACCAGGCAATCTTAAGGGAAATCAACCCTGAACACTCATTGGAAGGACTGGTGCTGAAACCGAAGCTCTACTACTTGGTCACATGCTGCAAACAGTGGACTCACTGGAAAGTCTCTGATGCTGGGAAAGAATGAGGGCAGAAGGAGAAGGGGGCATCAGAGGATGAGATGGTTGGATGGTTATCACCGATGTAATAGACATGAACTTGGGCAAACTTCGGGAGATGGTAAGGGGCAGGGAAGCCTGGCATACAGCAGTCCATGGGGTTGCAGAGTCGGAGAGGACTGAACAACTGAACAACAACATGGCATCAGTGATACAACTCAGGAATGTGAACCAGGCACCTAGTCTGTGACTCCACCTGATTGTTAACTGCTTGCTTTTCTACTTGGATGATGGGTGTGGGGCTGTGCTCCAAGGTTCTGCTCCATCCCAACTCCCATTTTGTCTGATACTCCTCAGTCCTGAGGAGGAACAGGTACAGAACACCAAAAGGAATAAAGTTTCAGACACAGAGATTAATCATCAACTTAACAGAGGAACCCACAGTAGAGGAAGAACCCCCTGAGGGCTGCTGAGAGAGGATGAGTCGGGAGAGGGGGAAGATGCCCCCCACCCATCATACCAGCTCCACTGCTGATGGGTCTCCTGGAGCAGCTAGCACAAAGCCCCACACACTGGGGGTATAAGGCAACAGAAGTATCCTCGCTCCCGGTTCTGGAGGCCAGAGACCTAAGTCAAGATGTCAGCAGGGCCATGCTCCCTCCCAGGCTCAGCAGGAAGCCCCTCCCACCTCTCCCTGCCCTGGGGGTTCCTAGGCTCATAGAGACAGTGCTCCATCCCCACTCTGTCTTCACCTGGCCTACTTTCCTCGGCTTGGGGATCTCCAGATCTCTCAGCAAATGCCTCCCAAACCAGCATTAAATTTATGACCACAAAGGCCAGAGAGCAGGGGTGTCCGCTGGGTCAGTGTCCACAGCTGGTGGGGACACTGGGTCTGGCGGCAATGAAAGAGCTTCCCCCAGGAGGCCCCCAAACCGTCTGCCACCATGCCCCAAACTGCCTCTGGTGTCCTGTCTGCATCTGAGTCAATTTTTAATGGAGGTTAAATTCTTACAACATACACTTTACTGTTTCATTTATCCTTTTTATTCTATTTATTTTTTTAAATAAGTTCCCTCTTTTTTTAAAAAAAATTAGTTTTGGCAGCCCTGTGTGACACGCGGGACATCCCTGACCAGGGATCAAACCTAAGGCCTCCGCAGCAGAAGTGTGGGGTCTGACCTGTGGACTGGCAGGGAAGTCTGCTTACCATTTGACTGTGTGCACTTCACAGGTATTTAGCGTATTCACCGTGGTGTGCAACCACCTCTTCTAGTGTCAAAACCTTGTCAGCCCCAGCACACACCCGGGGGACCCTCTGTCTGAACTTGGTGATCAAAATTGCTTCCGTCCCTGTGCTCCACGTTCCCTGCTATGAGGTGCTCCCTGCTATGAGATGTGGGCTGTCAGCCCTGTCTAGGCACCTATGTAGCATCCCCCATCCCCCACCTTTCACTGGATGTTTCCAGGTGGAAACACAGCTGAGGTCAAGCCACTGTAAATGTGCTTGCTGGCTGCGGTTTCACCAGACCAACAGCCCAAGATGCAAGTTTTCTATCCTAGAGCTCAGAAGAAAGCAGGATATACACAGCTCCTCAGTATCCTTCTCCTGCTCTCACAGGTCTGTTTGCTCCCCAAGGAGTGCTCACCTGCTCTGCATTCAGCCCTCATGACCTGCACCTCCGATCCATCGGCAGCAGGCCTGACACAAAACACCACCTTCCCCAGAGACAAAGTGGAGAGAGGAAGGTGACAGACTCTGACCCTCAGGCACAGGCTGTCTCCCTGGACCCTGAGCCTCACAGAACTGTCCCCAGTGCTGTCTTACAGTGCGGGGAGCACTTTTCTATTCTACTGCACACACACACACACACACACAGCAAACACACCACTGGACTGACCTCACTAAAGGCAGTAACCGGCTGCTGAAGCCAGGAATCCTTGAGACAGACCGAGCGCATATCCCGGGCAGTCAGTGGGTACCTGGAGCCGGACTCGCAGGACGTGGCACTCAGCGGGCCCGCGGGTCACTGCCCCCTGCACACATCTGTGCGTCTCTACCCAAGCAGAAATGCGTGAATGTATCTGAGTCCATCTAGAATGTATCTGAGTCCATCCAGAACTAATGCTCTAGGGTCGGATTTTCTCAGCCCCTCTTACTGTACTGGGTGGGGTGGGGGGTTCTGAGACCTGGAGCCACGACACAGCGTCACCACGTCGGGGTGTGGAGCTGTGGTTAGAGCGCAGGCTCCCGGGACCCTGGGTGAGCCACCAGCCCACCGTCACCTGGGCCACCCTCTCCCCCTCCTCGGCTCCTCAGGGAAGGGGGCTCAGGCTGCAGGAGGCTCAGCGCAGGCTCCACGCAGGACACCTCTCACCTGCTGACACTTCTCTACTGTGACTGGAGCTTCAGATGAAGAAACAAACCCCAGCAGAGACAATTTGTGAAAACAGAAAACACATATTTATTTAAGATAACACAAGCCCTCCTCGAAAGAAATTTCGTTAAAATCACGGATTGGGAGAAAAAAACGAACACAGTAAAAGCAGGCAGCAGAGACACCACCCCACCCCAAGGGGCACCATGTCTGGTCCCAGACAGGTCTCCAGAGCAGAGACCCACGTGGGTGACGGGCTGCAAAATCGAGCCTAGAAGTAGGTCAGCTCGTCATGCCTGCCTTTGTTGGTCTGGTAGCTGGTCAAGGCCACGGGCTTGTTCTCGTGCGGCAGGCTTTCAAACACTCGGATGTGCATGAAGTCATCCTCGTCCACTTGAACCTGAAAGGAGAGTCCAGTGAGGGGCAGGTGGGGCCTCTGACCCCACGTCCCCCTGATTCGCTGGATTTGGCTGGACGGGCAGGAAGGCCCTGGATGCCTGGAGGCTGCGTCCCTTCATGTCCCCAGAGACTGGGCTGAGGACACTGCCAGCTTCCTCCTTCAGGTGCAAGGGATGCCCTCAGTGCCGAGCCAGCACCCCTCATCCACACGCACTCCAGCAGAGCCCTCAGTCACCCGAGAGGCTAGGTCCTCTTCTCCAAGGCGGCCGCAGCACACACATGCACACACGTGCACACATACATGCTTGTACACGCATGCTCATTTCTGACAGCCACCAAACCCCTGAAGCTGAGGGCTGCCACAGGACCCTGCTGAGCACCCCTGCCCTGGACACCTGTGAGCTCCCACTTCAGGCTCGACCTTCCTTTGAGGGGGACAGCCCACCTTGATGAAGTAGTTCTTCCCAGCAACCAACTGGCTTTTGAACTCCAGAGCCTTGAACACTGGGAACTTCTTGTTCTCCTTCTCCTCCAGCTGGGACTTCACCTGGGGAAGGGGAGAAGGGAGAGACAGGTGAGCTCACCTGTATAAGATGTTACAGCTTAACTCTAGTGCCCACATTCTACACTCTTTCTAGAGCATGTCTGTTCTTCACAGCTGAGCAGACAGATTAAAGTGCTGGCCCTGATTTCAAGTACAGAAAACAGCTGTTTAATTCTGCTGAGGTTTCAATGATATCATTTGCCTGTATCATTAGCCCTTTCTTTTCCAGACAGGGATAGTTTATACTCTCATAGTTACAACAGTGTACATAAGCTCGTACTTGTTTACCATTTTTACTCAAACCTTCATTTGAAAGAGTATATAGTTTTTAATTACTCTGAAAACTAAAACATTTAAAAATGTTAAAATTTAATTTTAAATTTAATCTTCCATCTTATTGATGTGCCTTAATTCTCTTATGTAATCCCAATTTCTTCTGTGACAGAATATGCAGCAGATAAAGCACTTTTATAGAAAAAAATGCTTTATTCCATCTTTAGATGGTCTTTCTAGGATACAGGACCTTTGGGTAGAGACTGTTTCTGATCTTTGGTGTCAGATGTTAATCATACTCTCAGATCAGGGGTCTTGATTCTCAGGGGAACTGAGAATTTTTAAGGAGGAAGGGGAGAGCAGGTTGTTTTGTCTTGACTTGAAAACCTAAGCTAGTTTCCAAGTGCTCAGGCTGCTGTCTGGACTACTGGCCAGGAGCTTGATGACTGCTCTGGAATCCTCAGACCTGTTGTGGGGGTCGGAGGAGTTCAGTTAAGACCAGGAGTGTGCTGCTTGGAGAGCCAAGGGGATCACCATCATACTTGCCAGTGAGTCACTTGACAAAGGCCTTCAGGGAGGGGTGCTCCCTGTGAGTGAAGTGGAGGGAAGGATCAGGAGGGTCAGGTGGTGAGAATCTGGCTGCCTGCTCCCTCTGAGTTTGCCAGGGCTCTCAGGCGATCAGCTGGGTGTGTCCCCCTGGGCCAGTGCCCACCTTTGGCTGAACACTCACCTGTGTAGCCCCTGTTCCTTCTAGGTGTGCAGGGAATTGACCCTCAGACAGTTTACCTGACCAGGGAGGGGCGAGTGACACCCACAGACCCTCCTGGGGGACTGGGATGGAATCACCTGTTTCAGGAGTGGAGGCAGGAGAGCCCCACCCTGTGCGAGGACTGGGGACCCCAGGTGGAGGTGGTGGAGCAGGGGAGGCGGAGGCCTGCAGGATGGCAGGTCACCGACACAGCTCCAACCAGGAGAAAGATGCGCTGGACTGGAGCCAAGGAAAGCTCAGAAGGCCCCGGGTCACTAGGAAGCTGGAAGTTCCCAGACCAGAGTGACCAGGTGGGCAGAGGGCCAGGGAGGGCCCTAGGATAGGACTGGATGTGGTAGTACAGGTCTGTCTTGGCCTCACTTCTCCTCACCTGTACATGAAAGCTTCAGTACAAAAGGTCACCGGATGGTACCCCTGCCCCTCACACAGCCCACCCAGCACACGGGTGGCCTCCTTGTTCCCAGGGGCAGTGAGGACAGTCCACTCTCAAGGGATGGACCCCAAGTGCAGGCCCTAGTGACAGAAACTCTCATCTCCCGAGGGGGCTCACACTCTTCAAAGCTCAGGTGACCAGCAGGGATTCTCCGGCCTGGAGTCCCAGGAAGAGGTGGGGAGGGCTGGGCTCTCTGAGTGGCCACAGGGGAAAAGCTGGGAATCTCCTCCTATCTGGCTCTTCTGGGAGTCCCAGCAAATTCCTCCTTTTCACAGGTCTCAGGAGACTGACTCAGCCCCTTCCATTACCGCACGCAGTCAGATGGTCCCAACCGCGGGAGAGAGGACTGGGCTGAGCTCATGGCTGAGGTTTAGGAGGCAGCAGCCAGGGAGGAAGATTAAAGGACAAAAGCTTGTCTTCAGTCTCTTCTTATCAGAACTCGAGGCTCCTGGGCCCTACTTGTAATGACAGGCAGGACAGGCCCAGCTCATCCCATCCCAACCTGATCCTCCGGTGTAAGTGTTTTTCTGGAAACAGGGCTGGACAGCTGACTAGGGTCTGAACCGGGCTCTGCCTCCTCGACCCAGCTACTTCCTGTTTCTAAACTTTTTATTGGAGACCACTTCAAACTCACAGAAAGGGCTACACTCAGTCCAGCCCGAGTCTCGGACGCCTGGGACCCTGACCCCAGACTCACTCATGGGGACCTCACCCCGCCCGTCGTATCCTTTGCCCTTTAAGTGCTATTCCCTGTCACCTCGCGCCCCCTAACCCAGGGGACACCTCCGCACCAGAGAGCTTCGCAGGCAGGGAGGTGCATCCACCTGCGTCCAGCCCCGCTCAGGGCGGGATGCGCTCGGGCGCAGCGCCTCCGTCCCAGCGGGGATGCCCGCGGACGCCCCCGGCCCCCAGGACCCCATCCGCCCCACGCAGCCCGAACCTTGTCGGCGATAGCCTGGGTCTCGGCCGTGGCCGGCTGCGTGGCGGAAGGCGCTCCGCACATCATCTTGGCGGCTGGCGGGGCGGGAGCGTGCGGACTCCAGGCGGCGGTCGCGCGGGAGCAGCTGACACTCGCGGGAGTGGTCGAGCGGAGTCGAGCGCCCCAGACCTGTCGCGGCGGTCAGGTGACGTGCGGGCGAAACCACAGCGCGCGGCGGGGGTGGGGGGGACCCAGGACCGGAAATGGGCTGCAGGGCATCCCGGAAGGAAATGGAGCGCGGACCGTCCTGGTCGGTGCAGACTGAGCGGGGCAGGAGCACGGCCGCAGCTCGGGACCCCCGGTGGGCACTGTCTCGGGACCAAAGATCGTGTGCTGTAGGGCTGTCCCCCCTCCCGGGGTTTGGTGTCGTCCTCCCGGGCGGCTGAGCCGGAGGGTGTGGGCGAGGGCGCGGCCTGCAGGGTCCGGGGAGAGGGGTGGTCCCTGCCACGCCGGGGTGGGCGCTGAGCGGTGGTCTCGTCTAGGTCGCAGCCGGGCACGACGCGGGCTGGAGGTGGTCCAGCCTGCCTCCTCCCGGCCTCCCGGGCCACTCAGGACCCCCAGACCCTCTCTCCTGTGTTGTCTTCCAGGTGCCCACACTTTGACCCGGTGTCTGCAGTGACAGTGATGGGTCTTGAAATGAGAAGTGTTTGTGTTCGCAGAGGAGCGGGGAGCTGGCCCTGAGAGCTGTCCAGGGCCGAGGGGAATAGAAGCCCCTGCCCGGCGCCCCTCATCCCCAGGCCTGCCTCAGCGCCCCACCTGTGCCCACCATGGGCGTGTGACCCGAGGACAGGGTGAAGGGCTGACGTGGACGGACAGAAGAGGCACAAAGGAGTCCAGTGGCGGCGAGGCGATGACTCCCAGGGCCTCAGGCCCGGGTGGGGGTCACGCAGAGGGCGTTAGTAAAGGGTTTAGTTCTGGCCGTTTCGCTTAGGATTTAGAGTATGTGTAATAGGAGAATCCCAGGGACGGGGGAGCTTGGTGGGCTGCCATCTATGGGGTCGCACAGAGTCGGACACGACTGAAGTGACTTAGCAGCAGCAGCAGCAGCAATATCCAGGAAAGAAAGGGTCCCAGTCTTTTGGGGGCAAGGTGGGGCTGTGCTGGGAGCTGTCTGGACAGGACTGGCCTATCAGAAAGGTCCAGCTGCCCCTCAGTGGGCGTTGGGCCTCTGCCACCCCTGGGGGCTGACTCTGCAGGTGCAGGCCAGCCCTGCCTCCTGGGGGCCCAGCGTGGAGCCTCAGTGGGAGGGGCCAGTGAGCAGGTGTGTGGGGAGAGGAGCCTTTTCTGGGACGTGCCAGGGCAGAGCCTAGTCTGTAAGTTCAGGGAAGCATGGGAGGTCGGGTGAGGTTGAGCCCTGGGAGGTAGGGAAGGAGAAGCTGACACCCAGCAAAGGCCCAAGCTCAGAGAGCTGCACTTTAACACCAGCAAAGCAAGGGAAGGGGAGACAGCCTCAGGTCCACCCTCCTTGGTCTGAGTGAGCAGGGTTTTTTTTGTTTTTTTTTTAAGTCTTTATCGAGTTTGTTACAATATCGCTTCTATTTTATGTTTTGTATTTTATGTTGCAAGACATGTGGGATTTTTGTTTCCCAACCAGGGGTTGAACATGCAGCCTTTCATTAAAAGGCAAAGTCTTAGCCACTGCACTGCCAGGGAAGTCTCTGAGTCAGCAGTTTTTATTTGTTTTTTAACTGATCATTTGCATTTAATGGAAAGAAAGAACTATTCATTGAAGGATAGTTTTTCGAGAATGAAAAGATGAACCACCCACTGGGATAAATATTCTCATTACACATATCTGATAAGAATATATAAAGAACTCCTACCAATGAATAAATAAAAGATCATTAAAAACAGGTGGTATCCTTGAAATGAAACTTTTTTTTTTACATTGCCTGGCACTTAGGATCTTAATTTCCCCAATCAGAAATTGAACCCACGTCCTCTGCAGAGTGTGGAGTCTTAGCCTAAGGACCACCAGGGAAGACCCTGGGGTTATCATCTTAATCATTTATGACCTGGATGTCTTTGATCTGGTAGTCTGTGACCCTGGGCTGTCTCAGTGTACTCTGTAAAAGGTTATCGTACCTGGAAGATGACTCAGAGCAGCACATAATCAGTGATGCTGATTGGGACACTGGCAGCAGGCCCCTGACCTTCACTACTCTTTATTGATAAGACAGAATGTGATGGAACAGGTCTGGCTAGGACAAGCAGGCAAGATAAGAGAGACACCTGGGCATGACTCTGAAGTCACAGGACTCCATTTCAAGACTCCTGTAATTCTTAATTTAATAAATGAATGAGACAGTTTTGACCCTATAAAAATGGAAAACTCTGTGTTGAAAACAAAACATCAGAAAATAATGAGCAAGAAGGGCAAGGAAACCAGTTCTGTAGTTTTTGTGATTCTACAGCGGGGGGATGGGGGTTGTTGGGAGTGACCCACCTTGAGACGCCTCTCTGTGCGTGACCCTCTCTTCCTGCTGGACTGTTCTGCAGGTGCTCACCTTTTACAAATAGGAGGGGACTGCCTTGGTGGTTCAGTGGTTGAGAATCCGCCTGCCAATGCAGGGGATGCAAGTTCGATCCCTGGTCTGGGAAGATCTCACATGCTGTGGAGCAACTAAGCTGGTGGGCCAGGCCACAGCCACTAAGCCTGCACTCCTTACAACCCATGCTTTGCCACAAGAGAAACCACCGCGGTGAGAAGCCCACTCGCCACAACTAGAGAGTAACCCCCACTCACTGTAACTAGAGAAAGCTCATGCAGCAATGGTTTTTATTTTAAAAATAAAAACAAGTAGGAGGGTAACACACCTGTGGACGGCTGTTTTTTAGAGTTGGCTGTAGCAGGGGTCCTCCACCTTGACTTGGGTTTTGGCAGAGCCTCCCAGGCAGGCGGAGGAGGGCACAGCTTGTATTAGAAAGGAGGAAAGCTTAGGTGTGCCCCAGGCTTGGAGAAGCTGTGGGCAGGCTCGCTATAAGCTGAGGATCCTGTGTGATTAATTTCAAGGGCATTCTTGACTTTCTCTGGTTGTCCTAGGTTAGAAAGGGGAGGAGCAAAAATTAGAGAAGATGGCAGTCATGGCTCACTTGTGAGGTTCCTGGCTGGTGGTTGCAGAGGCTGTGGTCTGGCTTCTGGGTGGTGGTCGCAGAGTTTGTGGGTTAGAGTTCTCTAGTTGCATGTACGTGGTCCGGCCATTGTCTGTATGTATAGTCAGTGTCCAGGCTTCCCAGGTGGCTTGGTAGGTTCAGTCCTTGGGTTGGGAAGATCCCCTGGAGGAGGAAATGGCAACCCACTCCAGTATTCCTGCCTGGGAAATCCCATGGACAGAGGAGCCTGGTGGGCTACAGTCCATGGGGTCACAAAAGAGTTGGGTACAACTGAGCGATGATACAACAACAGCAACAACATAGTATCTCATGCTGCTTTATGAAGTCAGTGTTGCTTTATTGCTGAAGACGTGGGTCCAGACATGTTTTCAAGCTGCCATGGAAGGCAGGCTATAAGGTCAAATGGTTTAATGCTGATCCAGCCCTTCCGTGTACCTGCTGTGTGGCATGGGAGTAACTGCTGAACCTCTCTGTGTATAAATTAAGCACCAAGTGAGTTAACGGACATAAAATGCTTGGGTCGGTGTCTGAGCCCTAGGGTGAAGGGATGATGTTATCACTACCGTTGTGTGTAATAACAAACATAAATCTCACCCGTAATGAGCATTACTTTCTCTACCAAAGGTCCTGAAAAATGCTGAGGTCTTTGTCTCATTGCTTGAGGCCACAGCTTCTCATCTTACTGGAGCCAGGGGAAGAGAGTGAGTTTCCTCTCTCTTCACGTAGATCCCTGGGGCCATTCACTTCAATTTGAAAAATCTGTATTCAGAAGGATCAAAATTTTAGGGGACTTGCTAGGAAGTCCAGTGGTTAAGACTTCATGATTCCACTGCACAGGGCGTGGGTTCAATCCCTGGTCGGGGACCTAAGATTCCAGGTGCCTGCTGTGCAGTGAAGCCAAAAAATTGTTTTAAATTCAAGCAACTTTGAAGATTTCCTTGTGATCTCTGATTTTCCCAGAGTCAGTAGAAGCCACGGTGGCTTTTTCCTCAGTGTCTCATGGCCCCTTCTTCCCCAGCAAGACAGTTGTAGAGCTGCAGACATTGTCCTTTCTTCCTGGCTGGATTCTTTGGCTGGACTGATAGTTAAATTGATACCAGAATTAACAGGAGAAGTATAAATTTAATTTCTGACATACAGGAGCCCCGAAGATCTGAGACCAAGGGTGATGAGTCTGGCAATTAAGGCTTCTATGCCACCCTGAGCTGAGGAATAGCGTGGGGACCTGGGGCTCCCCGAGGGAGGAGGGCTCTTCACAGGGAGATACAGAGAGCGAGGATGGTGGTCAGTGCTTTCCTGGCTGTGCAGGTAAGTCAGATAAAAATGTTATCTCTAATAATAGCTCTTCTTCTGGTTGTTATGTTGTTAAGTCATTTCAGTCACGTCCAACTCTTTTAAACCCCATGGACTGTAGCTCACCAGGCTTCTCTGTCTATAGAAATCTCCAGGCAAGAATATTGGTAGCTTCGCCAGGGGATCTTCCCGACCCAGGGGTCAAACCCAGGTTTCCTGCATTGCAGGCAGATTCTTTACAGTTTGAGCCACCAAGAAAGTTAACGAAGAGGTCATAATGTTTTCTGGGTCCACTGGGTCCTGATTGCCTTCAGCTCAAAGTAGTCCAAAAGGGCGTCTTCTGCTCCCCTCCCACCCCAGCTTATGTGCATTCCTGTCGACATGCTGAGGAGGGCGACTCACCCACCTGTGCCCCGTTCTGTTCCAGTTGCTTCTGTTCCATCAGGCAAAAACTCCATCTGCAGAGTCTGTTGCTAATTAAATTCTAGCCCAAGAAATCCTCTGACGGGGTGGGGGTGGAGAGGAGGAGGATGGAGGGAAAAAAATAAAAAAGATAACACATCTAAACAACTAAGCATTTATTAAATTCCCCTATTTATCTTCAGTAGCAAGGGGAATAT